GGCTATAAAAAAGCACTTGACACTTAAATGTTTCCAAGTAAACAGTTTTCAGATCTTATGAATGTGAGCATTAGGCACAATGTCAGTCCACTAACTTTCATTTATGCAGCAGGGTCTCCCAGGAAGATTAGAAACAGCCGATTTCGAAAAGGAAGTTAAGTAATTGGAAACGAAATATTTTCAAGGAAATAAATTTCAGATCTCGTAAGAGCTTTGCCTTATTTCAGCACACTAACTTGCACTTATGCAGACGAGTTTCCCAGGAAGATTAGGGAAAGCCGCTTTCGAAAAGGAGGCTTTGTCGAACGACTTCTTTACACACACTATGGAGAGATTGAAACAGAAAATTGAAGTCATAGTTTGTTATGGTTGTTATTTGTACGAGAATTACAAAGGTGAATGGATAAACAATGCAGGAATAGTCGAAGATCACTGTAGTCAATGCATCAGACCTAAATTGTTACAGAGATAAACAGTTCGATTTCAACAGCATGTGAACATCGAGCCCTATCAGACAAGCTTGAAATGCTAAAACAATTGATTCAAAATTACCTGAGCTATTTAATTGGTTACTTAGATGGTTTGGCATAAAAAGCACCAACCAAGGTTCACATTCTCTTGTCCGATTTTTGCTGATTCTGAAGATTTTCGTTCCAGAAATAGCGACGTCAAAGCTTTTCAGTACTTTGTTGCTTCGCCGTTGTAATGCTTTCACTTGTTGAACTATGAAGCACAGCCTAATCTTTATTCTCTGAGCAGTCTTACACAAGCTGGGAAGAGCTTTCATAAACCAGTCAAGAAAGTCATCTCAAGCGAAAAGCATTTAAATTGTCGCTTCCAACTCTAAACAAGTCGGCGGTTATATTATCGGGTCTTGGAGCTGTCCCTCTTTTCATGCTTTCTATCGCAACTCGAACCTCCGGCGGAAGAATTCCAGGTGGTTTTTCTCCAGCGGGGATATTACGTCTGGTGCGGGTATTATGGAACGGAAAAGGTTGGTTAATTAAGCGAAATCACACGTGGAATCTATGAATACTAACTTTTTACAAGTCGGGAATTTTTTCTGCAGCTGCGTAGGCAATTCGGAGAGAAGATGGAGACAAAATGGCGATAATTTTCACAAAGACACGTTCATACAACGAAAGAAAAAATCAATTGAAAGATACGCGAATTGTTTCCTAGTGACAACACTTCTTCCTCATTGGGTCATAAATGGTCATTATACCAATCTCGTAAATCCTCTTCAATTTTCTGGAAATATTCAGCTCTTCGCGCAAGAAAAAACGTATTTTTAACAACAAACAATATTTCAAGACAATTTTAAGCTGAATGATTTAAACACACACATGTCAACTATAAACATTTTCTTTACCACGCTACTTATCTGCCTACGCTGAGGCTTCCTTCTATGTACTGGCACAACATTATTTCAACCCTCTCCCATCAAATGACACCTACAGGTGTCAAAATGGTTCTGCGAGAGAATGGCCGGTTTATCACCAATAGGTCTCATTTCGGGTGGCTTGTTTTATAACACGTATAACTATATTCTTACAGTCTTTGTTGTCAATTGATAGCATAAAGATAAAAAATGTCGTGTTAGGCGTCGGTGGGGAAAAACTGTGTTCTGCATTTTGAAATATGTGAAAAGTCCGTTTACTGAACGAATCCACTGAACAGAAACTTAGGAGACAATCAACTAGAACTTCATTTTTAATAACTGTAGTGAATCTTTGCAGAGCACTTCCAAACGCTGACAGTGATGTTCGCGAGGTGGGCCACAGTACCTTGTGGCACCATAAATATCATTCATATCCGTACAAGGATAGAGCAGATTTTCTTCTACTTTCTGGAGTGAACACAACCTCTCAAATCGTTTAGTTATCAAAAATTTATTGTTTGCTTTTAAAAAACTAGCAGGTTAATCACTTGTACCACCTGTAGTCCTGCTCAACATTGGGCGACCCGAGCGGGCTCCAGTAAATCCTCCATTTTTCTTCGTCGTGCAAGAGTAGCCCAGTGGGCTCTGCTCGCTCTAGGGACTTGTCGAGCATCATGTCTTCGTTCTAGGCTTTTCGTGAAGAACTCTGAGCATCGAGTCAGTGGTCTTCCTGCAGTGCGCTTAACATCCCGAGGAATCCAGTCACTAACGACTCTTGTCCATCGGTTCTCATTCATACGCACTACGTGTCCCGCCCACCTTATCTTCGACTATTTGGCGGACAGAACGACATTTTTGATTTTCGATCGTTGACGCAGGTCAGAGCTTCAGATTCCATCCCTTACTTGTGTGAAACGGGATACTCCTAGTGTCATCCCTTCGACTGCGCGTTCAGAAACGCTGAGTGTTCTTTCATCCTGCTTACGCAACGACCAAGCTTCTGACGCATACGTTAGGGAAGGAAGTACCGTTAAGCCAAGAAGGTAGGCACGGAGTCGGGTGTTCATTGTTCGCTTCACTGCATACTCGATGCTCTTGAAAGCTCCCCAAGCCGCTCGTTTTCTTCCGCTCAGCTTTGGAACTAAGTCGTTCAACATGTTGATTTTCACAAACTAGATAGATATAACTGGAGCATTTGAAGATTTCGTTCTATTGAGCGTGAATGGGGCATACGAAACCAATCCATTAACATCGTTTTTGTGAGATTTAATCGAAGACCAATCTTTCCATATGTTTTATCAAAGTCAGCAAGCATACGTTTCGCTTGGCTAATGTTTGGTGATGTAAGTACGATGTCATCAGCAAAGCAAAGATGATGTAAATGCCGACCAACGATTTTCACTCCCATATTATCCTTTATCCCATATTACCAATATTACATGACATTCTGGAGAGTGGCGGTAAATAATTTTGGCGAGATGGTATCGTCTTGCCTAACCCCTCTTTTGGCATCAGTTTTAATATCGTTGTAGAATGGTGATATCTTGGTTGAGAAATTTTGTACAGCTCACTTACAATCTTTATGCACTGAGTAGGCACTCTTTGACTATCAAGGGCTTCCATGAATGCTACTCAGCAAGCTAATAAGAGCTGGAAATTAGGGCTCGTCCAGTTTTCGAACCCCGTCGCCAGAGTGTTAAGCAAATCATAAACAACCACAATGATGCTGAGATATTTGCAAAACTCCGGACCACAGGTGTCCATGGTGATGAACGAACATGCTATTACCTTTTCCCGCGGCTGATGCGTTTACCACCACACCGTGCGGTTCCATAGTTTTTCCTGTCTTTCAGTAGTTCCATCTATCAGTGCCATCAGCAATCACTTGTCAAAGAGATTGATCTGGGGAGTCCAAATCGGCAACCAGTTAAGCTGAGGCTATGGTCGAAATCACGATGTTAACTTTTTAATTTCTGCCTATTGCAATTTTTCACAGCAGGGTCGTATGCGTGATACAACCACAGTGATGTTGAGATATTTGCAAAACTCCAGACCGCAGGTGTCCGCGTTGGGGAACGAACGTGCTATTACGCTTGCCAGCTGAGAGACAGGCGAAGCGAAGGACTCCGTGGTGAACGCATTAGCCCCCGGAAAGGGTAATAGCGCGTTCGTTCCCTACTGAAGACTCCTGTGGTCCAGAGATTTTCCAAATATCTCAACAACATTGTGGTTGTGTCACACATAATACCCTGCCGTAAAAAATTGTAGTAGGCAGTAAATAAAAAGTTAACGAAGCCTGAACATTTATTTATGTGATTTTATAAACTGATCTTCTTAAGCTGACGCGAGGTTGGTACAGATCTTCGTTGTCGTTGTTTTTGATGTTATTGATCGATGGCTGACGTTTCGGCGACTTCGCCTTCCTCAGAGCCTGGACGTATTTTTTATTAGAATATTTTTATTGTTCGGTGAAAAAGAAGGTTAAAGTATTAATGAAGATCAAACTTTCAAATAGACGCGACTCCACGTGAACTACGTGTGGGCCAGTCCCGCACGTAACATCACGGTGAGTGGCCTTTCTGTTCAATATGGCGTCTATTTGAAAGTTTGATCTTTATTAATACTTTAACCTTCTTTTCCACCGAATAATAAAAAGTACTCTAACATAAAGTACGTCCAGGCTCTGAGGAAGGCGAAGTCGGGGGAACGTCAGCTATCGACCAACAATACCAACAGCAACGACCACGACAACGAAGATCTGTAACAACCTCGCGTCAGCTTAAGAAGATCAGTTTATGAGATCACATGAATAAATATATCAACTATCTATGCCGAGGTTTATAGAAAGTCGGTCTTTCGAGTTATTAAAAGCCTGAATAGTTTGTTAGGTCTTTTACTCTGTCATTTTGAATTTTTTGCTACTATAATTAATGTAGAACTCGGTTTATTATATCGCCATCGTGGAGAAATCGTTTTCACACGGCGACAAGCCTTCATCCTATTCGCATAAGCCGCCAGTTGTGCTTGGTGAAGACCTTGAATGCTTTGCACGGATTCTTTGGAATTCAACGAGAATTACGTTCCTACAGCGGTCAGAAAGTCAACCAATGAGGAGAGAAGAATCCAAATCGTCAACTCACAGCCGAATACATACAAAATTTACATAATCTTCGTGGGCTATTATTGTTATAAGAGGAAAATAAAACAAAGAGAAATCTAAAATCTATATGGCAATTGAGTAGCAGTGGGCTTTGAGCTTTACAAAGCTGAATACTCGTGTACCCAGTTTAGAAGAATGTGCCTTGAACCACTGTTTATCTCTTCTTTAAAAAACCATTTTTATCTCTCCTTCATATTTTTTTTCATCCTTGTTTCATAATTCTTTTCTTTTCTTTCTTCGCTTGTTTGTATTATATCATTCGTTGTTAGCAATTTACCCGAACGCCTTGTAATTCTTAAAGCTGACAATTTACTCCATACAAAAACTTTAATGTTGCTTAGGAAATGGTACATATGGAGCACTTCAATTTGCTTCCGGCACCATAGTATTATTCATAATCGCGAAATTTTGTAACTGGCAAAGAATGAAAATGATTGGGAAAAATCGGTCCTTATTCATTCATTCACCAGACATCATTTCCATGAACTCTGAAACTAACTCTTTTTGGAAGAACGAAATAAAACTAGAAAAAGAAGAAAAGAAATCGAAAACAGAACTGAAGTACCGTCAAAGTCGACTGTTCCACTTCCATCGGCGTCAATTTCGCTTATCATCTCGTCCAGTTCCTCTTCGCTTACATTCTCATCAAGAGCTCGAAGAATATCTCGTAGATCCGAGACATTGATGTAGCCGTTTCCCTAAGTCACGGAATCATGTGCACAGCCACTACAAGTATTTTGCCACATTGCTATAGTCGCTCTTGGGAACCACCACACTATGCCATCAGCTGTCATGTCCACTCTTAGGCCAGAAAGTGTTCGTTTTGGCTTACCAACACGAATTAGGTTCTAATCGGACTGTTCTGAAAGGCTAAAGGAAAATATGAAGCTCTCGGCGTTGATCAATCCCTGAGGGATGCGCCGTGCATTCGACTTCATTAAGTATCGCTTGGAGGTGATTAAATACATATCTGGCCTCTACAATGACTCGCTGTGGTCTACCGATATATCGAGCCAGTGCTGTCATCCTCCCAGACAAGTCTGGTACCAATTTACCGACCACGGTGGGGTAGAGGGCTTGGTGGGCCATGAGCGTTGGGGATCGATTCCACGTGTGCGTTGCAGGGCGCCTCCGACCACTGCGCCGCAGGCGCTCCTGACTTTGCTTAAAGTTAAAGTTGGTAAATTTCCGAAGTTAGGAAGAGGCTTAAGTAACTAATAAAAAACTGGTTTCTAGTTAAACGTGATTCAACGTCTTTTTTCCGATGAAAACGGTGATGAAAGAAAACATGATAAGCATGGACACCAATAGCATTCAGTAAGATGACACAGTTCTTCTAGAAAACTCCAGCACTAAGAGCTCAGAAAAATTTGTTTCTTCACGATATTTTCCAAGTTCATCAATGCCTTTTCTATGAAAACAACATACGTAGACTCTGAAGGGCAAAATTCATCCTAACGCAGAGTTCAATTCCTTCACATTCCTGACGCTTCACATCATTCTTCGTTTTTTCGTCGTTGTCCACATTGTAATTATGTACTGAGAAATCTTACTTGTTTGTCATAGAGACGAAAAGCTTCTCGCAGTTCCTCCTCTAGACCTTCATTGTCCTCACCGTTTACTACAAAATTAGCTACCATGGCTGCGAATTCCTCGAATTCAATCTCTCCAGATCCTAAAATGAATTCGTTTCGCGGCAGCGCAGTTCTCTATTCAGAAGCCAAATATAGCAAATAAAAGATACTGTAGGTTATTAAGAGAAAATCTCTGAACCCGAATGAGCGCGGGAAGAGCAGTAGCGCGCGCTTACACGATCACTTGTTCAACACCGCAGAGGGCAACTAGTTCTCCCATCTCTCCAGGGTAACCCAAATGGCACAAAATTTGTCTGGGCAGAACCTTCCAGCGATTTAAAGGGCCGATAATTAGTACGATAGAACGGCCTAGTAGAGCAATGCCGAGATGTTACGGAGAGTCTACTCGATCGGCAATAAAGGCATTCATAGAGCACACCAAAATCTTCACGCTGAAGGCGAAACCACAAACAAGTTCGAAATATAAAAAGCAAAAAACGAACACACAAACCATCAGTGTCAAATTCCTTGATGAGTTGCTTCAGATCGCGTTCCTCAAAGGCTTGTCCCATTGTGCGAAGGATTTGGCCAACCTATAGACATCGGTTCGCAGAAGTGGTTTTGAAATATCGAACAAAGGAAATCGCTCACCTGTGTAGCCCTGATGTAACCTTTATTCTCTTTGTCAAACATATTGAAGTATTTACGGAATTCTTAAAAAAAACTGGTTAAATGATAATAAGAAAAAGAGAAAAGTAAGCCCACAGAAATGAAAAAGGGAAACGTTACGTTCGATCTGCTCGGCAGTAAGCTGTTCGAGCGCATCACCAACAGCGTCAACCTGGAAGAAGAAGGAAGTCTTGGTATTGAAAATTCGACGGCTGGATAAAAAGCAGCAGATATAGGATATATTTTAGTGCAAAAACAATTAAACGATTTGTGATCTAAGCCCCAATTACTGCCATTCAATTAAACCCCGGATTCTCAATGCTTCACTGCAAATGCGCAATGAGATGACACTCCTAAGTCTCAACCACCGACCTTAAGGTTTGAAAGCCATATTCGAACTCCTTATACAACACGAAAAAAAATAAACATGTATGGCTTTAAGATAGAGCAGTTGATTGCACTCTTAAAAAATGCTTGAGCTGCTCAATCTTCAGATGATCCGGAAAGAACTACGCACAAATAAGAGAGTGGGCAATGGGACAACGACTGGGGCCAAGTCTCGCTATTGCGTTTATGTCTAAGGTGGAAGTGACCGATCTCGGGCCGTTACTCTACTGTAGATATATAGATGACTGCTTGGTCATTTGTTCAACACAGGAGGGAATGGACAAATGTTTCCAGTTGTTGAATGGACAGTCAGAGTATATTAAGTTCACCCGAGAGAACCCGAAAGAAAACTGGCTTCCATTCTCACCCCTCTCACACGAAAAGGGCGCTTGCAAGAAACATTTTTCAAACAGCAACCAACGTGTGCACGGGAAGTGAGCAGAAGGAGAAGTCCCGGAACTTGGTGCGGCAATAGTCATTTCTAATGTCTACGAAACTGTAGCTCGGGATAGGTGTGGGGAAATGAAACGGGTAGACCCCTCTGTGTCCGCATGAAAGAACACCTAGCCGGCAAAAATAGACCAAATACCCCGCTAGGCACGCATAGGACCCAGAGACATAACAGGGAGCGACTTCGAAGTATGTGTCACGATCCTCGCACGCGAATCAAGAACACAGGCGCGAAAAACTCTCGAGGCACTCTGGATTAGTTGAACTTTGAAGTGTGTGTCACGATCCTGGCACGCGAATCAAGAACACAGGCGCGAAAAACTCTCGAGGCATTCCGGATTAATTCTAGAAATCCGAAAATGAACAGCAGGGATGAATGCCTCATTAACACGCGTGATATAGGGCAGTATATAAGACTGCTATTCGGATGGGAGGGGCACGTTATACTTCCATGTGACTTCTGTGCGGTTGGTCTCTACGTGACATACTTAGTGGAAGCCTCATAGAAAGCGGTGAGTGTGCAAAACTGTGTTCAATGTGATTGAAATCTTGGTTTAGAGTTCCTTTGTTTGGTTATGAAGGGGTCTGGACGAGTAGATTGCTATCAACTTGACCTTTCCAGGCTCTGAGGAAGGCGAAATCCGCCGAAACGTCAGCTTATTCGTGAATAAAGAATAATAACACATCGCGTTTGCTCAACAAAAATACGAAGAATTACTTGATCAATGCCGAGGTTAATAGAAAGTCGGTCGTGGTAGTTACTGCAAATCGATTTGTCAAGTTTCATCTGCTGGGGTTATGAAAGTGTTTGGCTGAGTAGATCACATCTCAATTTGACCTTTCCAGGCTCTGAAGAAAGCGAAACCGCCGAAACGTCAGCTATTGTATTCTAATAAGTTCTATATTAACAACCTCGTGTCTGGTTATTGAAGAAAAACGTTGGATCTACTTGCGCCCGCTCCAGTCGCTCGTCGATCAACGGGACTGCAGGTGATGCAGGTGATACAAGTCCACGTCATTTCGTTTCACAGAAATTCTAATTAGTTTGTCGTCATAATGACGCGGAATGCTCAAAAAATTAGGGAAATTCAAGTCTGTTGTTGAAATTTTGGTCGCTGTATTCGAACTGAATGGGGAAACAACAGATAAATAAAACGCTAGAGTGAGAAGAAATTGAAGAAAATACGGTAGTTGGAGAGAAACGAAGTAGTGATTGGGTAAAGGTTTGGTATTGCTTTCTTATTTCTGTGACATAAATATAAAAATATTTCTGTAACATAAATATAAATGTTGTTTTTTTGGCAACGTAAGTCAAGAAATAAGCTTGAAATAAGTAATGGGCGGTCCTTCTTAGCGGAAATCAGCGATTGGTGTCAATTACGGTAAGTTGCGTCGAATTTTCTTTGTGCACAAATTTTTAACGACTTACCATGACGACGTATGTGAAGAATTTGTCTACGGTGGAAGTGGGCGAAAAGACTGTTCGAGGGCCGTAACGTTTACCTTTACACTCATGACAGAGCGCTGTGCACAAGCAGCGTACTTTGACGGCGGAGACGATTTTCCGGATCAAGTACCAGGATCACATGACGAGTTTGTGACGCAAAGTTATGTGGATGGTGCTATATACGTCGACCGATTTCTGAAACGTTACTACAAAGGGTAGTAACGGGTGACGATCTAATTTTCTTACCAGTTCCGAATTTCTGGTTTGGGAATATACACCATAGTGGAGGTAGCAAAGAAGTTTTTAGTATAACTAGCATTTGACTAAATGACTACTAACCACGAAGCTCTTAGCAAATAAGTGTAACTTTGACCAATTAGAGCATAGTTGAACTATCAGCACAAAAGGAAGAGCTATAGTGGCTTTTCATTTTTTAAGCTGTCTACTGCTCCACTGTTCCACAGAAACGCGAGTACTACTAATAGTTGGATACTTGGATAATTGGATAGCCTGTTATCACTGGTTGTGCGTGCCTCAGAATAATCTCTACTTTCTCGAATTTTTGCTGGCTTAGCCATTGCAGTGCTCTGGAGTCATGACGTTAACCTAGCCAAACTCTGCCCCAGATCGTCACCACCACAGGCAATCGCCGTTCCTGTGGATCAGTGGGAGATTTGCCACCATGCAGCTAGCGTGACACCAGGGTGGTGTTGGATCCTGGTTTTGGTTTAGTCTCAGCTGGTTTCCTTCTCAGCCTGGGAAACCTTTCTTGGTTATGAATCGGCCCGCTGTCCATCGCAGCATCGCAGCCCGACACCCAGGAACACCTCGCAGCCAATATAAGATAGTAAACCGTTGAGAAGACTACTTAATACACCTCTAAAACAATTAAGCATTTTACGGAAGAAAGTTGAATAGTAAAAAGACATTAAATAAAAACTTTCAAAGTTTAAAATTGTGTTTTGGCTAACTTAAATACCAAACGGCACGAAGTTGGTGAAGAATATTTTCATGGATACGTTGATGTTCAAGAGTGGGGATGCCGTTGTGACATCGGTGACAGTTCCAACAATAAAATTAACGAAATGAAGATTTTATTATGTAATTTTTGTGTTTATTCTTTGTGTTTGACCTTCGCTGAAGATTGAGACACTCGTCCAGAATCTTTTTAATTTACGCTAAGTTCTTATTTTCTACTACTAATTATCTGTCATGTAGCATGTACACGTTCCAACAGTTCGCCTGGAATTGCGGACGTGGTTCTGAAAAATCCCAAAACTACTTGCTCACTCTAGAAAATTGTAATGTAACTTGAAAATCAACGTGGTAAATCACGTTCATAGAAAATGAGGAAAATCCTTGCTCGTTCTGATTTTAAAAAGCTTGAGCAATTTCGAGAAGAGATAGGGGTGTATAGTACAGTGGTAGCTGCTTGACCCGGACAGGGTGCTCACATGCTGTGCATACCAGTCGAGGATCTTTCTTTGCCTATTATTTATTATTACCAATGTCATTATTATTAATACTAATATTGTTAATGAAGGGATAGATAGCACAGTAGTAGTGATGTCCATTATTACGAGCACGGTGCTAGTTCGATTCCGCTCTGGGCCAACCAAGCCTATCATCCCTACGTGGTCGGGAAATTGGTACCGGACTTATTTGGAAAAAAAATCACTTTCTGCAATCCGATTAGAAACGCTCCAGCCCGTTTATCTCAAGACTCCAGCGAGATTCTTCGTATTCTTGTTGTGCAAACGCGAGGTGTTATTTTATTCTTCATTCACGAACAAGCTGGCGTTTCGGTGCATTTCACCTTCCTCAGAGCCTGAAAAGGTCAAGTTGACAGCAATCTATTCGGCCAAACACCTCCATAACCAAACAGAGGAAACGCTAAACCAAGATTTCAATCACATTGAATACAGAATAGCTTCTTTGCACACTCGTCCTTTTCTATTAGTCTTCCACTGAGTATGTCGCGTGGAGACCAACCGCACAAAATTCTCGTGGAACCGTAATTTGCGTAACTCCGAAGAGAATTGCTCGAACAGCATTCTACGACATTCAAGATGAAGTGAAAATGTTCAAGCAGTAACGGAGAAAGGTTCTGGCATCCGCGCAGTAGACGTGAAGACGTGGTTGTTTCACACGCCCTGCCGTAAAAAATTGTAATAGGCTGTAAATAAGAAAGTTAACATTGCTATTTCCACTACAGCCTCAGCTTAAGGGGGTTCGTTGCCGATTTCGGCTCCATAGATCAATCCCGATGACGGGTGATTGCTGACGCTGATCGATAGAACCAGTGAGAAACAGGCGAAGCAAATGACCTGCATGGTGTGGTGGTGAATACGTTAGCCACCGGAGAGGGTAATAGAATATCGTTCGTTCCCGACCGCGGACACCTGAGGTCCGGAGTTTTGCAAATATCTCAGGTTTATTTTGGTTGTATCACACGTAATTTCCATTACACATATCGTTGGATCACATAGTGATCGATTCACAAACTCTCGATGGCTTGTTTGACTTGGCTGCTGAACAGGTTTTGAAAAACCACCGCCATAAAGAAAAGATTGTGCAAGGCATTCCTGCATTTTTTCTAATCAGCCAGGACATTAATAATATTTCCTCCGCTAATTGAAAAAATATACCTCATATTCTTTTGGGATGCTCATATTATTCGTCAAATTTGGGAGAAATTTTAACGTTGACATATTCTAACCTGCCGAAGAGCAAACACAAGTCAGAAATTCTCGGCTTCTTGAAAGAAATCTGATCGCGAGGAGTTCGATTTAGTGTTCTACAAAGGTCGTCGACTACTATGAAGACGACCGATGGATATTCTGACATCGCCACCTCTATAAGAGTGGAAGAATTTGTTTAGTTGT